CTGTAGAGGAACAATCACGTGTGTGTAACTTACATTCCTGCGTGTACTGTAGAGGAACAATCACGTATGTGTAACTTACATTCCTGTGTGTACTGTAGAGGAACAATCACGTGAATAATTTTACTCAGGAAAAATGATGCATGCGTCAAAATACTCATGTGTGCGCCGGATTTTCGTTGAGTTTTCTGACGCATGCATCAAGAAACTCAATATAAAACATGTTTGATAATTTTTGACTCGTGCGTCAAAATACTCAACATGTGTGCGCTAGCTGCGTAAATTTACTCGACACTGGTACTCACAGCACATGCGTTTAAATCATTTTAAAGATGACAGTATTGGCTGCGCACAGTCAACGTGATCTGCATTACCACTTATACCTTGAGTAAAATTACTCACGCGTGCGCCGGGCTTTACATTCCTGTGTTTACTGTAGAGGAACAATCATGCGGAGGCAGCCTTGTGTCTCGTTCACTCAGCGGCTCTTGTGGCTGAGTACCTACACATGATAGAAGACAGGACCTATCTGCCCATCGGCTGCGTTACCTTCCAGGTACGGCTGCATTCTAATAATGTAGTGCAATTGCATGCAGCTGTAGGTAGCAGCACCATCCAATTACCGTTGCGTAATAGTAGAATACTGGTATTATAGACAGAAATTAAGAACTGTAGATGGCAGCATCTTCCAATGATCATTGTGTTTATACTGTAGTAGACTACTTGGATTATAGACAGAAATTAAGAACTGTAGGTGGCTGCACCTTCCAATGATCGTGGCCTTATAATATGATACTGAGGTTATTATTAATATTTGATGGCTGTAGGTGGCTGCACCATCCAATGGTCTGTGCATTATAGTAGAATACGGGGATTATAGACAGAAATTTAAGATCCAGCTCCATCCAGCTAGCTATCCTTGCATCACATTACCACACACATGTCGTCTACAGACATTAACAGCTCTGCTAATCACATTCAGTCAGACTGCCTGCCATTTTCATCATCAGTATTCCGTAGCTTCGGTAACGAGGAACGATTAGGTACTGAGGTATCGGTGACTAGCGTCGACGACGTTTCGCTCGAGTCATCGTCATTAACTCGATGTTTCGTTCATCATCAGTATTCCGTAGCTTCGGTAACGAGGAACGATTAGGTACTGAGGTATCGGTGACTAGCGTCGACGACGTTTCGCTCGAGTCATCATCATTAACTCGATGTTTCGTTCATCATCAGTATTCCGTAGCTTCGGTAACGAGGAACGATTAGGTACTGAGGTATCGGTGACTAGCGTCGACGACGTTTCGCTCGAGTCATCATCATTAACTCGATGTTTCGTTCATCATCAGTATTCCGTAGCTTCGGTAACGAGGAACGATTAGGTACTGAGGTATCGGTGACTAGCGTCGACGACGTTTCGCTCGAGTCATCATCATTAACTCGATGTTTCGTTCATCATCAGTATTCCGTAGCTTCGGTAACGAGGAACGATTAGGTA